TGGCTAACTATGAAAAAGAAATTGTATAACAAAAACTGATTACCTTAATTTGGTAATCAATCAGTAAGCAACAAGACAAAGTAGGCATATTTTGAACTATTTCTCTTTTATAATGAAGAGTTTTAAGATTAGCAACTACAGAATGAAATCCTTAAAACAAGGATCACTCCCTCAACTGACATTAATTATATTCACATATTGTTGAACCAAGAAAAAAAGGATTATAGCAAGCTGGCACACAGTCGATAGTCCAAATTAAAAAGCTAAAATGAGACAGAGAAAGAAAAAAAATTGATACTAAAAAGAGTTACCTTTTGAGTAAATGGATTAGTGATAGCTATATTTTGATCATCGGAGCCTGATAATAACCATTCACCATTATCACTCCAACATATTGTATTCACCTACAAAATATAATAGATAGCTGTATTTCATAATCACATTTGAGCAGAATAATAACAGATTTTCTAACCACTTGATTCTATGAAGCATTCTTCATTCCCATTTTAAAACAGACCCACAAAAGAATAATGAATATTTATCATTAAGTAATATTAGTAATAATAACTTACACATCCTGCATGTACTTCCAACTTTTTATCTAATTTTAATCTTTGGACAAAATTTACACCTCCTATAAAAAATACAAAAGTACTTGACACTTTGAATCAGGTTTTATTATTGTAGTAACAGGGTACATTGGTGGACCTATATAGAAAAATTATAAGGCAAAAGAATAAAAAGTCTTGTTAATTACTAGTTTCAAACATCAAACTGGATACAAACAACCAATTGATGAACTGTTTTTTGTGTACATGTCTTCAAAGTTTATATTTCCCTGTTGATGGAGATATTCCTTTTTAACCATGCCAATTTAAATAAGAAGACTGACCTAAAAATAAATGCTCATGGGCCATAGCTATTTGAACAAAGACAGATGTTGAATTAAAAGAAACAGGATTGATTTTACTACCATGGTGCAGATTATTAAACCTTTTGATCTATTTGCACGGTGACGGTCATCATTGCATCATTTGGGACGAAATAAGAGGTTTAAGGATTGGTTGATAAAAACAAATTTATTCTTTGAATTTCTACATTTTAAAGAACTGTTCCAAACCCTTAAAAAAGAATCTCAAACAAGCTAAACAACACATGGCCATTCCTACCTAACCCTCACAAAGTCACTAATTGACAATCAAAATGACATCACACTTTGAGGAAAAATAAATAAAAAGGCTAGCAAGATAACAAGTAGCCAGTTTGATGCTTATAATACTATATGGTCACTAGGCTACTATTTTTGAACCAGATATATTAATTAAGTCAAAATTAAGGTCACGGTTTCTTATTCTTACAAAAAGACAACAATGCAATAACTTGTTTGGTTTTTTAAGTTACAGGTATAAGGTTTTATAAAAGATACTCTCTTATAGAAGCACAGGTCACTAGTAGGCATTCTGGATTTCAGCATTGGAATACATCAATTTGATAGGAAATTACCTACTGAAATAAAAATGTCCGTGAAATCATATTGAAATGAAATATATGGAGTTTTGGGTCTGTACTCTTCTGCACCTAATTGGGCTAATGAAGATGGGCAGCACCATGCAGTGTGCAATGAGGAAATTTTGCCAGTACCATCCATTTTTAATTAACCCTTTTAAAAACAAATTCAGTTTAATCAAGTAAATCCATAGATAGAAATAACATAATTTTGAAATATTTTCAGGTATAATTTATGTTTTTGATAATAAAAATATTTTACAAAGAAATGGAATGCCCTTTAAAGCTATAGTATAGGCTAGTCTAACAAATATAACACCATGAGTTTCTTGATATGAATTGCTTTTAAAGTTCAATGACAACTTAACAGCCAATCAAATTGCTGATGGCCTTCAGGAAAATGGTAGAGAAATTTGGCA